GCATTAGTTAAGACGGGAGTACTTGAAGATTACATCTTGGCAAATGAGACGCGAGAGAGAGATGAATGAAAAAAAACTCGAGGGAGTTTACACGTGTTCTGTTTATATAAGATAGTGTATCACGTGGGAGGCTCCGAGCATATTGAGCGGGAAAACAGATTTGTCGCGTGCAGAATATCTGATTGGTCGGAACTGACCAATCAGCGAGCTAGATTGAAGGTGATTAACCAATGAATGCTTGTTATATATTTTGTAAGATGTTGATGGTAAAAATTACAATAGGAATAGTGCATTTATCCACGCAGGGGTGTAACTGTCTGACGTGGAAGATTCCACACTACTGCCAACATCGATATAACTGATAGTCTTTCTGAAGGTGAATTATTTTGTCTATTCATAAACAACGAAATAATAACTTTATTTGTCAACGAGAAAAATAAATACGAGCCAGGTGAAAGAATTTGCAAAGAAATACTCGTGTCTTCTCGTCTGTAAACACGAAGAAACACGTCATTTTTTTTTTACGAAATGAAAGACTTCTTAGCGAATTTGCTTCTTATTGTACACACAGAACCCCCCAAGGAGTAATAAAAGTTAAAGCGCGTTGAACTATTTATTTCTTAATGTATTTGTTTTTTATTTCGCGTTTTTTTATTTCGCATTTCAATTTTTTCGACGTCAAAACATGCATGCAAAACGTAATGCATTACATCAAAATATTGTTCCTCCATTCTTTTATTGGTGTACGAAAATTAACATCTATGCGCACAATACAAAGAAAGTTATAATAATTAGATATTTATGTTTTTGGTCCCTCAAAAAAAAAATTTTTTAAAATGAAGCTGGGTAACAATTCTAGAAAGAAATTCGCGCGGTAAAGGCTAAGCTGGGAGCTCGGGAATCGTAACAAGCTTTCTAGTGTTTGAGGTCTAAAAAAACATTAGAAGAAGAGGGATACATAGGTAGCTCTATTGCACAAGCGTCTTCTATCAATATTTGTTTGACTGTTATTGTAAAGCATTACTACTTGAACGAGAGAGCTAGCATTAGGACAAAACATATCCATAAGTTTAGGGAACATAGAAAGATTGTAACAAATGCATAGAGTTTTAACTTTGTTAAAGTTTTATCTAATTTCGGTCGAATTAGTTCGGACATACATGAGTATATCACGCCAACTACCACGGTCCTGCACCAAGATCGAAAGATCATTAGGGAGACAGTCTGTGTCGTAACATAGCTAGTCAATGTAGGTGATTACTGGGCGACCAACTAGTCTTGCTATATGTATAGGTGACCAGAACAGTGGATCAGTCGCCAGTTCTTGTTTTGCTCGCCAGCCATGTTTTTGCAAAGCGCATTTTGCGTTCGTGTAAGATTATGGTCATGTCCCTGATATTTCCACAGAGCTGTGATTTAGTTGAATGTTGTCTCTAGGAGATGTTCAGTATAGCTCCAGCATCCGAGTGTAGGTTCCATCAAACTGAGACTGTAGTGTTTTATTTAATGTCCAGGCAGTGGCACCGTACATTAACACCGCCTCTACAGTGGCTCGAAAGAATCTCCGCTTAAGGTTGTCTGATAGATCAGATTTTCAGATTACATCCATTGTATTCAAGGTGCCCCAGGCTTTAGCTCTGTGAATTTTCACATCGTTTACAGTAGAATTTATCTTATTTCCTAGGTATGTAAAAGAGTTTCGATGAATCCTATTTAAACGAGAAGATGGAAAATCTAACTACTATTTTTTTACATCCGCAAAGAATTTACGCCATATGGATGGGAGGAAAAAGGAAAATCCATACACAAACTTGCTTGGTTTCTATTAGGAATATTTTGCGCAAGCCATTACGACCTTCTTTTCTTTTCACATAAATTTATTGTATATAGACAGATTCTTTTTGTTTCAGTTTCGCGCTGAGTAAGAGCGCCTTTTTGTGCGCCTAATATATCAACTATTTTTTTAAAACTTCTACATGAGAAAATCACTATAATTTCGTCTGCTGAAGAACAGTAGTTTTATTATATAAGCATTTGAATCTATACTTTGGAACACTTATTTGATAACAGGTTTAGTTTTGTTTGTTTTGTTTTACGGCATATCAGCCTCAATGGATTATTAATGCCGACAAATTTTTTTTATTGCTGGTGATATTTTTCCCCCAAAATCTATTGTTGGTAATATTTTTTTTTCTTCAAAAATCTATTGCTGGTAATATTTTTTCAAAAATGTATTGCTGGTAATAATGTATTGATGGTAATAATTGTTTTTAAAAAAGTATTTCTGGTATTAAATCCTATTTTTACACTTTCATTGTGTTTTGACCCCAGTTTAGGGGGTTAACTATTTACCCATAGCTGGGACTCTAACAGGTGCTACCATCCCGGGTCAGGCTAGAACTGGGAACACCAGCAATTAAGAGATGGTTCCACACTCCTCAAAACCTCCTGATCAGAAGCCTTGCTGTCGGATGTAGTTCATCGTCTTACCCAGGACTTAATATAACAGGTTTCAGAAGTCTATGTTTCTTCTTGGTAATTTACGAAATACTCCACTGTACGGCGAACTTTGTGTTGGCTTATTAGCATTTTCTCTGGAAATTGACGTTTCCCACTTAGTCAGTCCCTGGGATTCTATTTGTGAAATTGTAAATACTTTCTGTTTTCTATCACTCACAAACCACAGATCATTAACATTTTGTTGAGGACGTTACCGCAAGATTGATTGATTTTTTTACGGTTTATCAACCATTCGGATTATTTATAGCTAGAAATTATTGTGATATAGCCGTAAGCTCATGCCTGAAAGAAGCTCTACGTCACATGTATGTAGCCTTGTGAGTGAAATTGGGTAGACGGAGCTATTTGAGAGCCGTCGATGGCTGCGCTAGCACGAAGCACAAGTCATCGTGACTGAGGGTTTGAGAGTGCTATCCTTGATGAGACTGTTGATCACGCTAGATAACGTCATCTCTCCCCAAAACTGTAACTAAGGACCGCTCAGCATAGTTGCAGTATAAACCACAGGTGCGCTCTGTGGGTGTTGAAAAAACACAAATGTGCCTGAGCAGGCGTCTGCAACAGATTGGCTAGCTTCTCCTAGTAGATGGGCATCCTCGGATACAAGTGGCCAGCCATTATATGTAATCGTACAGAGTAGAAGCATTTTATTATGGAGCGAGGCAACGCCTTTGAGGATGAATGTCACGATCATAGTCAGATCAGCGTGATCCCTGAAGAGGCACTCACTCCGATTTGTCAACTAATATGCAGTCTTGGTGTGTGTTTGCGTGTGTGCTTTTGTCGGGGGTAGGTTATGTAAAAAAAAACAAAAAAAAACAAAACATCTGAAAGGTCATCATGACAACCAGAAGCAAACCAATTATGCCAACCTGCCGACAATATCTGTGTTGTTTACAATAAGGTTTGGTCCGATATTGTTGAAATACTGACACCCTTTATCTGAGACACTTTGATGTGGGTTTTGTTCGACTAGTATTTTCAGATGTTGATTGTCAATTGTACATTGACGTCCTCTATCAACTTGATCTTTAAGACTCGTATCTCCACTGCGGGACTTCAGAAACCAGTAACATAATGTCCGATTACAAGCAAATCCTTCACCCCATGTTAATGTTGGCAGCAGCATTATAACCAAGGTTGAAGGTTATATATATATATATATATATATATATATATATATATATATAACGTGGGTTATATAATGTTTTAAGTTAAATTTTGAAAGAGATTGATATGACATCAACAATGAGGACAATTTATTCAGGAAAGAGTAATACAATGGAATCTCGGTTCACGAATTTAATTCGTTCCTGAAGGCCGTTCGTAACCCGAAATGCTCGTAAACCGAAACTCTTTTTCCAATAGTAATAAATGTAGAGAAGAAAAGTCACACTACAATAACATTGGAAAAGAAAAGCACGACACAACACACGAATGTATACAACATGGCGGTCGACTCAGAAATGATTCCGTTCGCGTTAACTCGGTTAGGCAATGTTGTTCGAGAACCGAAATTTTGTTCGATAACCGAGGCATTTTCATCTCGAATTTTCTGTTAGAAAACTGATTTGTTCGACATGTGAGACGTTCGATAACCGAAGTTCCAACGTATATTTCTGTGCAACTATTATAATAAATACATTTGAACATAGAAGCTTTTTTCTAATATCAGACATTATTTTCCGAACAACCTAATACGAGAACCCAAAGGATAAAATGGTGACCAGATCCAGGAAAGCCTTCAGTTTTTCAAACTAATAAGAATCTACAGGTGCGTTGGATGTAATGGGAATTCTTTATTAGAAGTAGAAACCCTTGAGACCATATACTTTTTGGATTGTGCTAATTATCTTTGCATGCATTTTTAAAAGGCTAAAATTTGGTGTATATTTGGATTAGGGACGTTATCTGAAAATAACGATCTGTACCCCCCCACACACACACACACCCAACACAGTTTACACTTTCCTAACAACTACTCTACGGCGTTACGAATTACTTCGCCCGAGATCTAAACGCACTTTTATGAGGTTCATACATCTTCAAAGAATCGCATTCGCATTGTACGAAAGGACAAAGGTCAGAGGCACACCATGAAGCCTGCGGAAAAAGCTGATGGAACTGGATAATTTCGAGAAACACCCATTATGTTAAAGTGTGGAGTTCCCTATATTATAAAATAAAATGACTCGCATTTTAACAGCAAGGAGAGACAGTTAAATCCTTTACTTAAATTTTAGGTAATAGGCGTTTAGCTCAAGCAAATCTACCGACGAACATAAGCAAAAAAAAAAAAAATAAATAAATACAATAACATACAATAATTGATACACTTAATAAAATTTGCTACTAGTCTTAACTTTTGTCTGTTAATAACGTTTTCTTCCCGGTAAAAATGATAGACATGTCCAGTTAGTTGACATTGACAGGCAAACATGTCAACAGCAGCAGTCGCAAAGGCGAAGATCTTTGAGTTTTCAAACGGCGGGAAATCGTTTAAAAGTGCAACTGGTGAAGAAGCAAGGAAGTTCAAGATTGATGCAAAAGTGCACAAAAGAAAGGAGAGAGAGAGAGAGAGAGAGAGAGAGAGAGAGAGAGAGAGAGAGTGAGAGAGAGAGAGAAATAATTGGAGGAAAAAGAAATGAATGCGAGTCTTAACAAAGAAACAATGACGATAACGAGAAACGGCGAGAAAGTTTAAGGAGTGTGTGTGTCGGGGATAGACAAATCGTTTCTAAATTCCGTATCGCAAAAGGTATATACGTATGTTAGAAATTGTCTCAATCCTGGGCAAATATATACGTCACCGAATTTAATTACATAGAAACATACGCTCGGTGAGAAACTCGATTGGCAGATCGTTGCTATGTTGCGTAAATGCAACTTGGGTCTACTATTGTTAAGTAATATTCGTCTGGTTTCTGGGCGTACGAGACGGTTAGTGGGTGGGTGGGGGCACTCTTCCGCCATATTCAGTGGTAAAAAATTTGGGCAAAGTAAGAAAATCTTTGAGAAAAGTGTTATTTTTATCTATTCGTTCTCCATGTCGACAGTAAATAATAAATTTGGGTATGTGATCCTGACAGAGTTACATCTTATTGACATTTGGAAAAACTTTCATGAAAGTATGTATCGAAAATAATGCCTGATAATGCATTTCGCCTATATGACTTCCTCAGATGGATAACAAAACATTCTGATGAATTTTGAGATGAATAATCTCAAAACTCGGACACTTAATGCGGAGAATATAAAATGTTAAACGATTTTCATAGACAAGGAACACCATTGGAAAATTCGTAAACTTAAGGAATCAGCACATATGCTAGGCCACAAAAATTTCCTGAGCCGACCAAGCATAGAAATGAATACAATATGGGAACCAGTAATAAAGAGTGCCAGAGAAAAACGATAATAACAACAAAAGTTGCAATATGAGATCTGGTAAAAACATGAAATGATATCAGCAGAAAATTGCAATATGAGCACTGGTAAAAATGGTTGCTGAAGACATTAGGTTTATAATACCCAGAAATTCATACACAGATGTCCTCAAGGACAAATGACACAGTGGATAAAGGCGTTGGTTAGATCTAGTGACAGAGCCCAAAGAGTGTGAGTTCAATACCCGGTTAAGGCAGTGAGAATTTTCAGAGGAAAATTAACAGGAAATAACTGATAACTGACATCCATTAAAAAAACATGACACGTGGAACTAGAACAGTCTACCCCAGTGAGTGAAATAAAAGGTTATGTTCGACATTCCAACCACCCGAAGAAGGACGGAGCGTACAACGGCCGAAACGTTGTAATAAATATGGCGACAAAGTTGAAGACAATAATCCGAATAATGTAAATAATGATTTCTTTCTAGTCCCTCATTTTCTTTCTCTTTTGTAGCCTCGAGCAACGCCAGCTTGGGAAAAATAGTAAGAAAAAGTTGGTTCTTTTGTCGCGTCAGAAAGTTTGTTTTTTTTCCCCTCCCGAGTCCCATCCTTCAAATCTATAAATCAACCATTCGCCTTTGCATGGAATACTGCTGCCATATATGGTCTGGAGCCCCCGACGTTCGTCTTAAGGACCTCGACAAAATCCAGGGACGGATATGCAATGTGATTGGCCCTGATTAGGCATCTCGTTTACAGTCGCTCTCTCACAGATGTACCCTCGCTTCTCTCTGTCTTTTACTACTACTAGCCACTTTCACTGGTTCCCAAACTGCACGAATTTAAACGTGATTTTAGGTTGGCATCTCAGTCCCACCCTTTCACTGACGAAACGGTTAAATGTAGCCGTCTCTTCTACTCCAATAGATTCATGTCTTGCACTTTCCATCTGTGAAACTCCCTTCCTCTTACTTGCTTCCCTGATAACAATAATCTCCAACTATTCAAATGCAATGTCAATCGACATCTCCAGATGCCTTGATCTAATTCCACGTACTTCTCTTCATCCTTTCCTCTATCACGCTTCTTTACTCTTGCTTCCAATATCTGTAACTCATTGCGTATTAATGGTACTCCCGCCCTGCTTGGGTGAAATGCTTAAAAAAATTATTTTAAACACACACAAATGCATACACACACAACACATTTTTCGTTATCCATCTGAGGAAGCAATATAGGGGCGAAATGCATTATGGGATATTATTTTCGGAACATACTTTCATGAACATTTTTCCAAATGTCAGTAACTTATAATTGTTGGGATTACATACCCAAATTTATCACAAAATGATTAATAAATTAACAATGATAGAAAATTAATTACTGCTAAAAAATGATAAACATTAAACAATCTTTTTTAATTTTCTCTCTGAATATCTTGGATGAAGAGTTATCATTATTTACATGCGGGCAATTGTCTTCATCATGGCTGTTGTTATCACAGCGTTTCCGCTGTTGTGACCTCCGGCCTTCATAATAAACATTTTGTGTGTGTGTAAAAAATTCATCATGATGAAGGCCGGAGGGCACAACGGCTGAAACAACAACAAAGATGAGGACATTAGCCCTAATGTCACAATGATAGAAAATTAATTATTTCTAAAAAAAAAAAATGATGAACTTTAAACAAAACTTTTAATTTTGTTTGAATTTCTGAGATGAGGAGTTACCATTATTTATACTATTTACTTTCGGACTATTGTCTTCATCTTTCTTGTTGCTATCACAACGTTTCGGTCATTGTGCCCTCGGGACTTCATCAGAGTAGCCTACAGGGAATTCTGAACGGAACCATTTATTTAATACTTCCAAGGTACTTTTGACGGTAAAGTTTCCAAATAATATTAAGCTCAGGCCCCAGTAGGCCATCCCTCAAGTTAGTATGTATCCTTCGGTAGGGGGCTTACCAGGCACTTGAAGCGTCCACAAAAAGAGGAAATACCGAGGAAACTTAAGCAATTTTACCATCTTATTGTCGTTAAACCCACTATAAATCACGATATTGTATCACATTTAGCAGCGGCGTGGACGCCCTGAAAAACAACCCTTTATTTAATCTACAGAGGTAAATTGTTCTTAGCCCACTGTCCATGTCTAAAGATATCTCGTCTAGTTCTTATGTTTAGTACTGCGTAGTTATTGCTTACCTATTTTAAATTTGCTCTCCATTAATTTTGTCTGGAACTATAGGAATTAGTCCAACTTTTATTTCTCTAAAAATAACTCTGAAGTTTAAGATTTAGATATCAGGAATTGGTCACACATGACCCCTTTCTTCCAGAGTAAATAAATTCCAATCGCAGTTACAAGATAAAAAAAAATGGAACAGTATCTAGTCAGATGAGATTCAATCAATAAATCTGCACTGGTATGCTGTAGATTTACTGTCATAAGTGTACATGCCTTCAAGGAACCAGACATCATTTTGTTACGTCAATTCCTCCCACCAATGACAGTTATTTTTATATAATGACGTGCATTTTTTCAATCACTTCACCCCAAGCATGACAAGACGAAAGGGGTTACTGAGTGTTAGAGAATACACTAATGCATTGAGATACGAATTTAATTCGTTCCAAGACCGAGCTCGTAACTCAAAACACTTGTATCTCAAATCAGTTTTCCCCATTGAAATTAATGGGAATATTTTTAATCCGTTCCAAGTCCCTAAAAATCACCCTTATTTTCCTAAAACTCACCCCTATTTTGTATTTGTGGGTTTCTTACAAGCAAAAACGTGTGAATAAACAAGAAATGTAGTTTACAAACAATAAAAATAAAAAAAAACAAATAGTAAAGAAATAAACTGTACTTCATAGGCCAACTGGCGGAGAGGAGAGAGAAAGAGAGAGAGAGTGTATGTGTGTGTGTGTGTGTGCGTGTGTGTGAGAGAGAGAGTGTGTGTGAGAGGGAGAGAGAGTGAGAGTTTGTGTGTGTGAGAGAGAGTGTGTGTGTGAGAGGGAGAGAGAGTGAGAGTGTGTGTGTGTATGTGTGTGTGTGAGTGAGAGAGAGTGAGAGAGAGAGTGTGTGTGTGTGTGTGTGTGTGAGAGAGAGAGAGAGAGAGAGAGAAAGAACAACAGCTAGCCTAGGAACCACAAACCTAGTCTAGCAACCTATTTACGATACCAAAGATTAACTTATCACCTAATTTTAATTTTTTTAAAAAGCATTTACATTTTATCCATTACTTAATTTTTAAATTCTATAATTCTTTAATTATCAACAATGTAGAACGCTCATACTGTCTCGCCAAATCCATTACCCCTACGTCTTCCTCATGTTTTTATAATTTCCCTCTTTACCTGAAGTGAAATCATACGTTTCGGTTTTTCACCACTACTCTTTACATTTACTTTCTTCGGACTCATGGTTTCACTAAAGGAATTTTGCAAAATAACGGCAAAAAGACGTAACAGAGATCCTTCAAGGGCGAGGTGATCACGTGTACTGCGAGTGGAAATATTCTCGAAGCTTAGCGCTCGCCGCACCAGATAGAAGATGCTTAACTGAAACTCGCTCGTATCTCAAAATTCAGTTCGTATCTCAAAGCAAAAAAATCGACTGAACTCCGGCTCGTATCTCAAAAAAAAAAAAAGAAAAAAAGAAAAGAAAAGAAACTTTTATGTCGGTACGCACGTATATTCAAGATATAAGAAAATACTATTAAAGAGAGAGAACAATTAAAAGAACAAGAATTAAGAAGACAAACGATAACGATTTACATTGAATTTCATTTTCTGAAGATCAAAATGGGCTGGAAAGCAAGAAGGCAGAAGAGAGTTCCACAAACCATTCCTTGCCCCAGTTAACAACGAAATGTACATCACTTTTTAGATCAACAGCCAATTTAACCTTATTGAACCGCTCAGACTTACTATTAAGACAGGGATAAATGGTTGTCATCAGTCTAGATACCGAAATGAGAAGTGATGCCATCAAGAAGATCGTTGTTTTATGCATGGCCTAATATCACATTGTTATTTTTGCCAAAAGATTTCTCCACGGCACGATTATTTTCTTCCACGTTTACTAAATTTATATAAAAAAAACGCAGCGGAACGTTTATTTGAACTGTCATGCATATGTCATATTCCCACAGTTTTGGTTATTTCCAGACGATACATGTATTTGGTACAAAAGAGTAAGCAATAAACATTGAAGTAGGTCGATTTTGGAACCGTGGTATTGCACTCAATTTGAAAGTTGCTGTTTAACATGATAAATAAGAACGAAATTTTTTTTTTCCAAATTGTTACGCTTTTTGTGGAATAGGGTTTGAAGATTAAGCTTAAAATTGTAACGTTGGAATTTCATTCTGGTGATCATTGAAAGCCTAAAAGCCTTATAAAATTTATAATTTAATAACGTTTCACAAAAAGATGTATGGTACAAGCACATTATTACTAAAGCATTGTGCCATCAAATAAGATATTCAATTTCTTCAAAGAGAAATTATTCTCCTATAAAACAATTTAGCTATATTATGATGTAATATATTATACAGTGCAGTCATTTCAGTGACATTTTCAATAAACAATGCAAATTTAAAAGGTTTTGTCTTATAATTTGAACCCAGCACTTTTATGGTGTTATATAAATATTTATCTATTTTTTTGTTTTTATTAATATGACCTAACAAATGGTGTAAGATCTTAATCATTGAGTAGCCTTTTTTGTAATCGTTTACAATTTTTTTTACAGAGTTTTTAATTATCGAATACGGTAAAAAAAAAAAATTATATATTTTGCTTCTTGTGATTAATTAGAATTCTGGTTTGAATATATTTTCCTTTCAGTATATGTAATATAAAATATATCAACTTTATTGGGATCTATTCTTGAAATAGTAAAATTTTGACGTCAGCTTGGAAGTAAAATCCTGCAGCAATTACGTATTTCTGTACAGTTTTCAGACGAATTTTAAAACCAAATGCTCAAAAACTGCTAAAAGCTATGCATTTAATTTTTGGTAACAGTACTTATCACATTAAACCCAAGCTTTCACATTGAGTGCAATGTTGATTTTCTAAGAAAAATGAAAAATCAACCTGCCCTATACGTACATTAGCACATAAGCCATCAAGTAGCTGAGAGAAAGAGAGAGAGGAAGAGAGGGAAAGAGAGAGAGAGACAAAAAGAGAGAGAAAGAGAGGGAAAGAGAGAGAAAGAAAGAGAGGGAAAGAGAGAGAGGGAAAGAGAGAGAGAAAGAGAGGGGAAAGAGAGAGAAAGAAAGAGAGAGGAAAAGAGGGGGAAAGAGGAGAAAGAAAGAGAGAGAAAGAGAGAGAGAAAGAGAGCGAAGAGATGGAAAGAGAAGAAATGAAAGAGAGAGAGAGAGAGAGAGATAGAGAGAGAAAATACAAACTGACAGTCCGTGAATGCGAAAAAGAGTGCGCGTGAGAGTCACTTTAACAAAAGAAACCGCTGCAACTTTTCCGCTCTGAACGCGATTGAAACTTAACACCCCTTTTTAGTTCTTTATCAGTCTTCAAGATTTCTTTTGAAGCAGAGAATGCCGATAATTAGATGTCATCTTATAAATCTTACTCACGCCCGTGGCGAAGGCATTCGCGACGCGCCTACTCGGACTGAAGCATCAAAGGATTATCTTTTTACTTTTTTTTCTACATTTGACTACTAGAACAGAATATCAATTGTTTTATCATTGTTGGCAATCTTGAAGGATCCAGATATACAGAGAAGCTCTCAGTAACGGAACAAGTATTAACTGATTAAAAACAAACAAAAACACGCTCTATTTAAAATCCGTTTGGTGTTTTCAGCTGTTAAAAATCATAGCATACATTAACAATGCTTGTTGGTACACACTGCTTGCGGGGCGGTCATGTTTACACTGTAACAGCAGTAAGATAACTGGCGCGATTAACTATGTGAGCACAATAGTATCAACTGTAAGATATCTTATGGCGAAAGGGCGGATATTTTTTTTTTACTTACACTCGTATTTCAATTGATGAAAATGACGAGGAATTTAATGTAACACAATTTTAGTTGTCCAAATTTCAGTTGCGCAATATGGAATATAGTAAAGTATCCTTTGAACGGAATGTTCAGAGTTACATGGAAATTCTTTACTGAATGAAACTTTAGTAATATATATAAATAGCCACTGTGAACAGAATTTTTTTTCATATTACTATAATTAAGCACATTAAGCATTAATTTTATAAAACCTAATAGAGGGAGACCGTTATGTAAATTCATTGTTAATTGATTCCCTTCTTCTTTATGTGCCACATGCCCTCAGGATGTAGGCGATCATGACTCTCCACAATTTCCTATCCCTTGCAGCTCTAAATAAATTCTACTTTATTTCTAAACCTTGTTCCGTCATCGTTCGTCAAGTATGCTATGCGTTGTTTTTACTCTGTCCCTCTTGGCCTCAATCTGTCCTGTAAGTAACAGATTTCCAAGCCACCCTTCCTCATTATGTGGCTCTGAAATCTCAACTGTCTCTTCATGATTGTTTCCATTTTCTTTAAATTGATCCCCTGCGGAAGCCAAAAACAAATATGTCTAAACGACGTGATTTTTTTAACGTGTAAATTTTTGTTTTAATTCGTAATCTGGAGTGTTTAATCGTTAGTCATAGATGGAAATGAATTCCAGATTACTAGATTCTTTTCTTTTCTTTTTTTTTACATTTTAATAAATCACGTGGTATGATTTATGAAATCACGTGGTATGATCATATTTTGTTTTGGCTTTCATCGTGGATCAATTTACAATGAATTTACATAGCAAACTGGTATCCAATTTAACTTTTATAAAATTCAATAACAAACATTGATATTAATGATCAACAGCACTTAATCTTTAGTAATATAAAAAGAAATGAAAAAAATCATTATTTCCGGTCTTAGTGCCTGTTGTACAAAAGGCCAGGTTGATTTTCCCTTTTATTAAAAAATCAACGTTGCACTCGATATGAAAGCTAGGGTATGATATGTTATATAATAACATCAAAATTTAATTTCATAGATTTTACCAATTTTTGAGCATTTAGCTTTAAAGATCGTCTGAATAAAATGTAAAGAAATACGTAATTTCCGCGTGTTTTTGCTTCCCAACTGACTTAAAAATTTTATTATTTCAAGAATAAATACAAATAAAGTTGATATAGTTCGTATTAGTTACATTGAAAGGAAAATATATCCAAAATAATATTCTAATTATGAATCATCACAAGCAAAACATGCAATTTCTTTTTACTTTATTCGATAAGTACAAACTATGTAAAAAAAACTGTAAAAGATTACAAAAAAGGCTACTCAATGAATAGATCATTTTTAGATTTGTTAGGTCATAATTAATAAAAAGAAAAATAGATAAAAGTCTATATAGCACCATATTTCTGGGCTCAAATTATAAGACAAAATGTTTTAAACTTGCATTGTTTATTAAAAATGGCACTAAAACGACAGTACTGTATAATATATTACATAAAAATATTGTTGAATTGTTTTATAATAGTATAATTTCACTTTGAAGTAAATTAAAGTCTTATTTGACGGCATAATGTTTTAGTAATAATGTGCTTGTGCCATGCATCTTTTCCATATACAATTTGCGAATCTGGGCACCTCGAGGTGGTGTAATGGTTAGCAAGCTTGTTTCGCTAGCAACTATTACGACTGAGTAGTGAGTTCGATCCTCACTGGGTACCCCATACTTTCGGCCTTGTGCCACATCTGAGCTACGCTTGGAAAATCACTACAATTTGTGAAACTTCAGTAAATTATAGATTTTATAACGCTGTGCTATAAGGCTTTTACTGATCACTGGAATTAAATTCCAAAGCTACAATTTTAAACTTAAACTTAATCTTCAAACCCATTTCCTCAAAAAGCGGTAACAATTTGGAAAAAATATTTTGTGTCCTTATTTTTCATGTCAAAACACAACGTTAAAATTGAGTGTAATATCACGGTTCAAAAAATAGACCTACCCTGCGTGTATAACCCCACTAGTTCTAGCATGTGCATGCAATATCGTTAGAACGAAAAACAAAGATGCAAAATTTTCTTCTCCGTTTCAAGATCATTTTCGTAATTTTTATTTTTGTTCTAATTCTCTTGTGCACCAAATACGAATGACGGAAACAATTGTTTCCTTCAATGTTTCCCCAGCCCACGACACGGTGTCTTTTTTGTACTTTATGCTTATTATCTTTCAAAGAAAGTTTCTCCACTAGCACAGAAAGATAATATCACTGAAACTGTAGCAAACCAGTCAATTTTGACACAGAAATTTGATAAAATGTTTAGTGAGATATTTCGAAAGTGAATACTTTAAACTTTATCCTTGACTTACCTGTGACCAATGTGTTTGCCATCAGATGTCTATGACGAATTGGATAGATTATTGATAAAACACAAAATCGTCGGCGTTGAATAAACAGAAGATTGTATATAAATAACAAATAGTTTAAAATTAGTAGTTGAAAATTATTAACTCTTATTTATTGAGCCTTCCCCAAAGACATCCTAAAAAAAAAATTATGTTAAATTAATAAATACTAAACACTTTAAACATCTAAGTATATAAATCAGTTACAACAAATTTAGTATAGGAGATAAAGAAATTGAATATAGAATAGTCTATGCTAGAAGTAGTTTCGCACAATACCGCAAATTTCTACAAAATCGAAATATTAACCTAAAAACTCGAATTATGTTCTTAAATAGCCTACTCGTCAGATCGAGACTTTCATATAGATGTTATACATGGCAAAAAAACTAGTTCAGAAATATCTAAAGTGTCAGCTCTATACAACCGCTTCCTAAGATCAATGATTAAAAAAGAGTTTCGAGTGAATGAACCCTGTAGGTTTAATTAAGGGCCATAATTTTCGAACCTGGTGAACTGGCATTACACAATCACAAACAAAGAATTGTACCAAATAACAGAAACCATATCATTTGAGAACTTTCAATAGGAGCAACAGCTAAAATGAATATTACAAGTCACTCGAAGAGAAAATAATGACACAATGAAGATGTTGATGTTCCACCTTACTTCAAACAAAAGGTTAGGAAGGAAACCATCATCAGTACTGGAAAGAACAATAGCATTTAATAGACTTGAGATACTCATTTTCCTGAAAAATTGTTTTGAGAGAGAAATTTTATAAATATCAACCGACTGTAGTACTGGCTGCAATGAATACCGAATGTTTCCTTATAAGGAAACAACTAATACTACCATTATCAATGATAAAACATAGTTAAACGAGGCCATAATTAGCATAGCACTAACTTGGGGGGAAACTTACGCTTTTATCGCAGAACAGGGATTGGGAGAGATAACGAAGAAAAACCTTACTAAGAGCTACAAAGTATAGGAAGTTGTGGAGAGTCATGATCACCTACTTAACGAGCTTATGTAAATGGATGGTAGCACGGGGAGTAGGAGAGATAACGTAAAAACAAAACTTACTAAGAGCTAAAGATGATAGGAAGTTGTGGATAGCCATGATTGCCCACGTTCTGAAAGGACACAGCAGATAGAAAATGAGAATTATCTTAACGTTATGGAAATTCTATATCTTCATTTCAAGAATATTCCTTAGCGAGAAAAAATGTTGAAAACTCACAGCTAGATATGCAGTGGATCTCAACTATTGTCAAAAACGAAATTTTTGATATCTAGGGTTGTTTTAAGACAGCATAGTAAATGATATAAAAATCTGTTCAGGATATTCGATAATTATTAATGAAACATCAGACATCAGAAGGGTTGCGTACGTTAAAATATGCCCCAAATCGATCTCTGAAGGAGAAACCAAAGAGTCTATTTCGGATTTTATGCAACGCATTTTATTGGAGGAAGTTTCTTTTATGAATGAGTTAAAAACTATAAGCGGGAGGATGAATTTGAAATTGTTGGTGAATGTTTTAATGACACAGCAGATATAAGCAATGATCATAAAGGTTTGGTAACAAGAATGAAAGATTATTCTCCGCTTCCTATTTGTATCCATTGTTATGGATAGGGCATAAATCTTACAATCCATGTAAGTCATTGAGGCTTCTGGGACTAACATTTTTCGCTCACATGAAGTGGGAAAATTATATTGAATCAACAGCTAGAAAAATTAATTCATAGTGTTGTGCATGACAATTTTTCTCGTGAGAATCTTTCTTACATATTTATAAGGCCTTGCTTTGAATATTATTGTCACATTTGGTCTCCTGCTCCTGCTATATGTTTAGAGATTCTTGATAAAATACAAAGAAGAATCTACAATGTTATTGGTCCTGACCTGGCATCTCGGCTTCAGTCCTTTTTCCAACGATTTAACGTAGCTTCTCTGTGCCTCTTCTATAAATACTTTAATGGTAATTGTTCTGATGAACTTTCCTTTGTGGTACCTAGACTTTACGAATTTAAGCGTAGTGCTAGATTAGCTGCAAGGCCTCGTCGTTTTATAGTTGAAATGACTAACTGTAACCATAAGTTCTTTGCTAATAGTTTCTTCTCTCCCACTTCTCGTTTGTGGAACTCTTTTCCGGCTTCTTGATCCCGATCAATTTTGATCTTCAAAAATGTAAATGCAATACCGATCGTTATTTTCTGTCTTCTTAATTCTTGTCTTTTATTGTTCTGTCTCCTTAATAGGTTTTTTCCTCATATTCTGTAACAGTCAGTAAACCCCTCCTGCGTCTTAGTGGCTGTATTACCTTGATCGGAATTAAATGATTAAATAATAATAATAAAAAAAACAATGACAGAAACTGAATACCGCCTCTATACCAAGGTGATGGACACGGTTGTCAATCTCTGTATCAGGTGAGTGGGTGCATGTGCGTGCAGGACACTGCTACATCCCATATGTTCCAGGAGTGGCGGCTGACCGAGATTTTTCACGATCATGTCCCTACTACAACCAACATATAGCTTCGTAGTTGAAGGTCGTTATCTTGAACATGGTGACCAAAATGAAAGAGAACCACTTGATTCGAGGATGAGGACATTTCTAAGACGGCATGGAAGGCGTATCCGATGCTGAGTAACAGATTTTTAATTATTTCACCCCAAGCAAAGTAATAAAGCCACTAAGACGCAAGGAGTTACTGAGTGTTAGAGAATATGAGAAACATACTATTGAGGAGACAGAACAATTAAGATAACGATTGACATCACATTTAGATTTTTGAAGATCAAAGTTGACTGGAAAGCAAGAAACCGGAAGAGAGTTCCACAGATACCAAGTGCGGTAGCAGAAACTGTTATCATAGAACTTACGGTTACATCTAGCGGCCATTTCAACTGTAAAATGATAAGACTTTGCCACCAATCTAGTACTGCGTTTAAATTCATAGAGTCTATGTACTATAGAGGAAAGTTCATCAGAACAATTGCCTTGAAAGTATTTATAGAAAAAGCACAGAGAATCTACATTACGGCGGTGGGAAAGTGACTGAAGCCGAGATGCCAGGTCAGAACCATTAACACTGCAGATTCTTCTTTGGATTCTATCAAGAATCTCTAAACATATAGCAGGAGCAGGAGACCAAATGTGACAATAAAATTCAAAGCAATGGCTTATAAATATGTAAGAAAGATTCTGTCAAGAAAACTTGTCGAGCACGGCACTATGAATTAACTTTCCTGGTAGACGAATGGTAGATTTAAATATGTAAAATAGATTCTGACAAGAAGAATTCTCTAGCATGTCACAGGAAACCAACCATTGATCATTTACTGATTTTTCTTTGTTGAAGACATGTTTTCCTCGATTATAATTTTGTTCTCCATATTTGGATAATTAACATTTATTTCAATTTTAAATGGTAATTGGTCAAATTGAAGTTTATATATTTTATTTACCTAAATGAAGAGTTTGAAAACAAAGTTGAAAAGAAAGAGACAAAGACAGAAAGTGAGAGAATGAAGGAGAAAGAAACAAATAAAGAAAGTAAAAAAAGAAGGAAAGAAAAAGAAAAACGATACGAAAGTAAGAGAAAGAGAGAAAGAAAGAAAAGATGAAAAGAAAGACAGAGAGGAAGAAAAAGATAGAGTGAAAGAAAGAAGGAAATAAAGAAAGAGAAAAATGAACAAAAAGGAAGAAAATATAAAAAGAAAGAAAAGATAAAGAAATAAAAAATGAACAATAAGAAAGAAACTTGTGAGAGAGAAAAATGACTAAAACGGGAAAAGTTAGAAAAAGAAAAAAAACACAGATGTACAGGAGGAAAAAAATGAACAGAAAGAAAGAAAGAAAGAAAGAAAGAAAGAAAGAAAGAAAGAAAGAAAGAAAGAAAGAAAGAAAGCGAGCGAGAGAGAGAAAAAAAGGTAAGGAAAGAAAGAGAAAGCGAGAAAAAGACGAAGAGAAAGACAGAGATAAAGAAAGAGAAAGGAGAGATAGATCGAAAGAAAGAAGGAAATAATGAAAGAGAAAAATAAATAAAATGCAAGAAAATACAAAAAGAAATAAAGAAAGAAAAGTTAAACAAATAAAAAATGAACAAAAAGAAAGAAACTTATGTGAGAGAGAAAAATGGCTAAAATGGGAAAAGTCAGAAAAAGAAAGAAAAAAGATGTGCAGAAGGAAAAGGAAAAAATAAACAGAAAGAAGAATAGAAAGAAAGAAAGAAAGAAAGAAAAAAAGAAAGAAAGAAAGAAAGAAAAAAAGAAAGAAAGAAAGAAAGAAAGAAAGAAAGAAAGCGAGAGAGACAGAAAGGTAAGGAAAGAAAAAGAAGTAAATCAAGAGAAAGAGAGAAAAGATGCAGAGAAAGAAAGACAGAGATAAAGAAAGAGAAAGGAAGGATAGAGCGAGAGAAAGAAGGAAATAAAGAAAGAGAAAAATGAACAAAAAGGAAGAAAATATAAAAAGAAAGAAAAGATAAAGAAATAAAAAAATGAACAATAAGAAAGAAACTTGTGAGAGAGAAAAATGACTAAAACGGGAAAAGTCAGAAAAAGAAAGAAAAAAGACAGTTGTCCAGGAGAAAAAGGAAAAATGAACAGAAAGAAAGAAAGAAAGAAAGAAAGAAAGAAAGCGAGCAAGAAAAAGAAAGGTAAAGAAAGAAAAAGAAGTAAATCAAAAGAAATAGAGAAAAGATGAAGAAAAAGAAAGACAGTGATAAAAAAAAAGAGAAAGGGGAGATAGAACGAGAGACAGAAGGAAACAAAGAAAGAAGCTTATGTGAGAGAGTAAAATGGCCAAAACTGGAAAATTCAGAAAAAAGAAAAAAAAAAAAAAAAGACAGATGTGCAGGAGGAAAATGGGAAAAAAGCGCAATGGAGGAGAGAGAACAAAATGCTGACGTAAGAGAGCGTGAGAAAGAGTGTTGACGTGAAAGAAGAAAGGGAAAATTGAATTAAAAAGAAAGCGTGAATGAGGAGAAAGTGCAGCCGTGTCACACAATATTTTATCAATAACATTGACAGGACGATAAAGCTGCCACAATTGACCGGCCATGCTCAGAAACAAAAGAGATAGTCAGGGATGACATGTTTTTCTGTCTGCTAGGAAGGAAAAAAAATAGAGCAGCTCTGGGAGATAAATATGTAACATTTTGCTCGACAAAAGGACATTGTTTTGATGTACGGAGATTTTTCAAACTCTACTGAGGTGCGTGCCACAAACACGAATGTTTCGGGAGAGAAATGAGATATTGTTTACTTCTTTCCAACACGAAGGTGGATCAATATATCCGTAACTTAACACGTAGTTATTGACGGAAATTGGATCTGATATTTTTGCGGAATAATATGCCATGCCTGTGATTAACTTTCACCACTGAATTAAGTGCATTGCCAAAAAGCAATATTTCTCGCGATTGTTTTTGTTTTCAATCATTAGACTTAGTCATTCACCTACATATACACGTATATCCATAATACAACAATTCTCGTGATTTTTAACTATATAAAATAAGTGGGAAAAGTTTTTGTGGGACATGTTTCGTCCTTCAGCGGACAAAATCTATATTTACGTTCATGCGTTTACACATGCGCACGAAGAAAAGAAAGACATTGAGAATTTTAATATATGGCGATGCTCTAAGCGTAGCTTAAATATGGCCGAAAGTATGTAGGTAACCAGTGAGGATCGAACTCAATCACAAATGATCTAGCGAAACAAGTTTTCGAGCCATTACACCACATCAAAGTACCCCTTTTTTTCTTCTTTTTTTTTAGTTTAATATAGGTTTTAGGTATATAATGCATTCGGCAGAGGAGGGGCGTATTCAACATTTGATAATTTTGAAGCAATACGCGCTAAAGGTTTTAGGCAGTTTTGATCAATATTTATTTTCATGGTTAACCGTAAGGAATTGTAAATGTAGGACTGCCTTACACTTAAGTAAAATAATAATAATATTTATTAAGAATTTATTACAGGAAATATCAAGTTTTACGGAAACATTGTTAAAATTATGTATTTAGTTACATAACAAATAAATAAAAATAATATAAATTTTAATGCTATATTCAATTTGTTGTTAGGTATTTTTCATTTTCTTCTTTGTTATTGGGAGCATTTTAGAATACTTTGGCTGCAATGCTAAGTTTCCGAAGTTTAACAAACTGGAGCTATTTCGTTTACGCTTTGTTACCTCTCTTTTCCATTGTTTTTAGATCGCTTTCTTCCAGTCGTTTTGATGGGCAATAGCGAAATTCTGAAATTTAGAATGATCTTATTCAATTACAAAAATAAAGCCTGAAAAAAAGGAATATTTTAAACTAATGTACGACCAAAAATAAAATGCTTTTGACAAAAAACCTTAATGATTTCACTATGTAACAATAATGATATTCCGCAGACGAATCTACGGTTTATGTTACCTCATCTCATTGCATGGTTACGAACTATACACCTAAATTGAGCTTGAAATATTGTGTAATCGACTCTACTTTTAATAATTTTATTTTTATTTTGGAATTGATATAATGAATAATTTGCAGTGGAAAAAGCAATTTTCGATTTTTGTTGAATACGCCTCTTCTCCACCAAACGCCGATTTCATTTAGACTTTTTTTTCTTTTTGTTTATTTTCCCATCGCTTTTGTTATTAAATATTCCACATTGTGTAATAGAAGATCTGCCATGAACGGCGAAACATTGTAAAAACCTGGACGTAAATTTACTCTGGATGACCTAGTGATTAAAGCATTTCCTAAACATTTTCGTCTTAGTAAATTATTTTCTCTTTTAATTAGAATAGCATTTTCAAAAAACAAAATTGTGACCAGTCTCATAATGGCGAACGACTAATGCATTTAATGTGTTGTTTTGTAAAAAATTTAAATTCATTGAAGTTTATCCTATGTGTTCCTTGTATTCCACTAGGAATACATAGGAGAAACCGAAATATATCTCTTCACTTTCCAATCTTGATAGAATCCAAAAGCGTTTTCGTGTCATTGTGGGTGATAGATTATTTTACAACTCCTCCCACCCCAGACAAAACGTCGGAAGTCTCTTGTTACTCTATCGCTGTTTTTTATGGAAAATGTCCAGACGAACTACATTCCTTAGTTAGACCAGTTCTAACATTCAGCAGCCGTGGTTTCTCTTTCTGCGTGTCCTGCTTCGTACCTTCTGTTTTCCTTTGCACAGGATGGTCAGTTTTATAGACAACAGTCTTCTTTCTCCTGGCATCTTCGTCCAAAAATCAATTAATCATCCTTCCGTAACTTTCTGTCTTGTTCTTGTACTTTGAAATTGACTCCAATTACTGTTAGCCATCGGTCGAAAGTATATGTTCCATATCGAGTTGTCTTAAATTTAACTTATATTTCACTCTCTGTAACCTCCTTGCTTGGGAGTAAAATGCTTAAAAAAAATTCCGTATTGCTTTTGAAGCACATGTGCGACCATTCCACGGTTTTATTTAAGGCAATGTAAATAATTACAGTAATATATCAAATTCAGTCGCTATGCTCGTGGCATTGGCCAATAGACGTGCTTCATCGGACTTCCCGTATGTATTTTTTTTTAAATTTATTAACGTTGATTGGGTAATTCGGAATTGCAAAAATATTGACTTGCATAAGATCTGATAATTTCAAAATTCTGGATTTTTATTTTGTTTGTTTTACAACGATGTTCACCTTGTACAAGGCGTAAGGGCCTCTAGAGGTAGAGGGTTATAGAGTAAGATGCGCAGTTTGTGGGCATATGTAGGGAAGATAACGGTTAGCCCTAGACTTGAACAGGTTAAGATTTTAAACTATCCAAGATAGGAGTTAATGTATTTACTCAGACAAGGCATTTAACTGTGCCAGTCTCTGCTTACTTAAAAATACAAGAACACAACAATGCTACACCAAATAGCACGTTTTGTGAATTAATTAGCAACATGAAATAATTAACAAAAATACAGATGTTATCTTATATACGTTGCGTTACTTTTAGTAGTCTCCACAACTGTAGAGGAGCCAGTGAGGCTCTAACAATGGACTTGTGGTATCGTTCAGGTATTTATTAAGGTTTAACTTCATCTCGCATAGTGATTCTTAAACAGGAGACACTTGGCTTCCATAGGAGGAAATTTAAATTTAACCAGGAGATGAATCTGTAAAGAATTTCATTTTTATAATAATCCGCAAATCATTGGTCCTGACATAGCATCTTCCCTATAGTCACTTTTCCACCGCCATAATGTGCCTTTTCTAGAAATACTTACATGGTAATTGTTCTGTGGAACTTTCCACTATGGTACCTAAACTTTATGAAATTAAGCGCAGATTTCATTATTTTATAACTGAAATGGATAGATAGAACCGTAAGTTCTATGCTAATGGTTTCTTCTAAAGCACTTCTCGCTTGTGGAACTTTCTTTGGGCTTCTTACTTCTCAGTGAATTTTGATCTTCAAGAACTTGATTACAATTTCAGTCGTTGTCTAATGACTTGTTAATTCTTTTTCCTTTAATTGTTCTCTCTCTTTAATAGTTTTTTTTGTTCTCATATTCATTTCCACCTCAGTGTATTCCATAATTCTGGATCCAGCATCGCCGGGTGTCTTGGCAATATTTTGGTTCAAGAAGAAGATTCTAGTAAGTGAGGGGACAGTCAGGAAAAAAAACACTCTCCTATAATTAGTTTCCCTGCTAGTGCAGTAGCGAAAAATGAATAAAAAAAAGCAAAAAGTTGTAGCAGCGTTGTTAACGCTATAGAGCTCCTTTGATAGAGATCTAGTCAAAGAAAATGATCATCTATTACTATCTCTCTCTCTCTCTTTCTCCCAATTTGACATATCTCTTCAGCACGTGGGTGTTCGTGGCTCTTCACAGCTTCCTATCTTTTGTCGCTTTAAGCTAGAGTTGTTCTCTGAGGCGCCTTTTTCTCTTTATGGCATTTGTTCCGACATCGATTTGTTAAAACGTGTGAAGTGGGTTGGTTACAAGCTGTTTTCCTTGCCTTCAGTATATACTGAGAGTGTTAATTTTCTCAAGCATTCTTTCAACATTACATCTGTCTTTTCCTAATTGTAAGCAGCGATGCCTTTGTCGTATCTGTTATTCCTAAAACATCTACGTTTTTTCACATAATTTTCCAAATGTTCGTCGGTGTAAACACTTCTGGGTCGCTACAACAGTGTTACTAACAAGATGGTGTAATTTTCTTTTCAAAACGTGTCTATAGCAGTATTATCATAAAATATGCTTGAATTCAGAGTTGGATCTATAAATCAATAAATGGTCATTGTGTGTTGGTGCTATGGAAGCAATGAAAATGGTTAGGACGTAATATCATATCACCCTGTAAATGCGACTTTTGAAATAAGAACGCTGGCAAATGTAATCTAATGAATAGAAACAAGTTTCACGTCAAAAGATTTAGATATTTGCCTGATGCCTGAGTCTTTTGTGGTTATTCCCGGAAGGTAATCCGTATCCGTGATTTTTGTTTTGACCGAATTTCGAAGATCGGTGAAGAAATTTCTACCATTCGTTGCGCTAACAGTCGTAAAAAAAGAAGAAAGAAAGAAAGAAAGAAAGAAAGAAAGAAAGAAAGAAAGAAAGAAAGAAAGAAAGAAAAACTAAGTAAAAGACAGAAGGAAAAAAAAGAAGAAAAATGAAAGAAGAATAGAAATGAAGAGGAAGGAGAGGACAAAGAAAGAAACAGAAGGAATTTAGCTAGAAAGAAAGAAAAGAAAAAACTAAGAAAGAGAGAAGCGGAAAATAAAAGAAGAGAGAGAGGGGGGGAGGAAGATGAAAATAAAGAGAGAGAGTGAGAAGGAAAATAGGAAAATAAAAGAAAAGAGAAAAAAGGAAAATAAAAAAATAATGAGAGAGAAGTGGAAAATAAAACGAGAGAGAAAGAAGACGAAAAATAAAACGAGAGAGAGAGAAAGAGGAGGAGGAAAATAGAACAAGTGTGTGTGTGTGTGTGTGAGAGAGAGAGAGAGGAGGGAAATAAAACAAGAACGAGAAGAGGAAAATAGGAAAATAAAACAAGAAAGAGAGAGAAGTGAAAAATAAAACGAGAATGAAAGAAGAAGGAAAATAAATAAAAAAAAGAGGAAAATAAAGCAGAAAAGTGGGAAGAGAAAGATAAATCAACAAAGAGAGAAATAAATAAAACCAGAAAGGAAGAAGTCGAAAATAAAACAAGAATGAAAAAAGAGGAAAATAAAACGAAAATAAAAGAAAGTGATATAATGAAAAAAAAGAAAGATAAAAAAAATCATAGAAGGAAAACGAAAATCATCGAAGAAATAAAATAAAAAAATAAATTAAGAAAAAAGAAAAAAAAGAAGAAAATGTAATGCTCGCAATACAATCAATATTTTCCTACGTGATGACGTGCGAGGATGGGAAAATGGTTATCAACACGAACATGAGAATGAGCGAACTGAGTTCAAACATTAACTGAAGTAGTAACCAAACACATACCTAATATCCTTATCAAAGGCATCAATTTAAAGATTTTAAGTTAGAGATTACTCTCCGTCGCTTGCAACGTGTAACTCAGTACAATCTGTCGAATATTATGTGAAAGACTTCCCATTGACTCTAGAAATGTCATGAAGGACCCAGTACTGCCCAGGTCGATGCATGTGGTATGTTGTTATCACTTTGTTGGGATAACTTTCCTTCCTCTTCACCCGTTACGTGACCCTTGACGGCAAATCAGTGGAACGCGGTCTGTATAGAGAGTCTTCGAGTAGACACTGCTAAGAGAAGATGCATTTCTGACGCATGAGTAGAGACAGCCTTTTGCAAAATGACGTTTATTATCGTGACTAAAGAAAGCTTTTCGTAACATCCACTAACTTTTCTGTTCAACGTATGGTAGAAGGCATGTAACACATTTCTATATTTTATTAGCATGTTGTCTTTCTGGAAAATAAAAACTTAATGTTCGTTCTCCCAATTTCTTGCGAGATGTCTTTTATTTATTAAAATTTGAGTAATTATCTGCTTTCGACGACGAGATGCTACTAAGTTCGCCCTCTCTCTATATATATTTGATAACTTGTTTAGAAAAAGCGACGAAATTAATGTAATATGTAACTAAAATGACATTTTTTTAAACACTCAGCTTACCTGGTGGGTAAGTAAAAATGAAAAAGTAATCTCAACTTTAATTTACTTATGCTAATCGGAAACCACCCGTCAGCAGTGAAATCGCCATGATTAAGATTTAGGCGCGCATGCGCAGACACGTATCTCCGGTTTATTTATTAGATGCCAAAACTGATTTCGGGTAAACAATTTACTTTTTACATAAAATATTCAAAGTTTCGAAACTAAGAAAAGACAGTTTTTAAAAACGCAAGTTTATTCTTAGAGAGATGGGTTGCTTGATTTTCTTTAGTGATATATCAACCTCTATGGATTATGTAATGCCAAAATCTACATATTTTAAACACAATGTTATGGCTTCAACCACAGATGAAATGTATCGTTGGTTATTTTGATTTAAATATGTATTGTTGTTTGTTTGATTTTGTTTAGCTGCATATCAACACCTCTATGGGTCATTTAATGCTGAAATCTAAATATTTTATAAGTAATTTTATTCTTTTAACTACAGTTATTTTGTATATAATTTTATACTTTCATGGTAAAGGTGTTTTTAGATATATAGTTTGTAGATCATAAAATGTATTGTTAGTCATTTTATTATAAAAATGTACTGTTGATTTTTGTTTGGGGGTCACTATTTGCCAGTATCTAGGACCCTAACAGGTGCTACCACCACGGGACAGGGTGGACCTGAGGACAAAAGCAATTAAGAGGTGATTCCACGCTCCTCGAAACCTCCAATCTCTCGATTAGAGGCATTGCTGCCGAATGTAGTTTATCGTCATACCTAAGAAGATTAATGGTTAACTACGTAAAAAATGGAATCGTCGAACAGTCTTCACCCATATTATGGCTGAAATAACTTGTATTCACGTCACACAAATAAATCAGTTTTCACTCCTAGCCCAAGGCAGACTTATATATTTCGTAAACAACCTAGAAAAACCGTGGATCCCAAGAAAAGTCATGCCAATGCATAGTTTATAGATTTTAAGGAAGGGAAGCTATAGAAAGCCATGATGGTTAACGTTCTGGGGTAACATGGCACTTAAAGTGACAGCATTCGAGATAACTTTTCGGTTCAACTTAACTCAATTATAATTAAATTCATCGTTGTCTCGTTTTGAATTTGGACGGAGATATAGCAGCTACAAGTCAGTTATTAGTAGATCAACTATAATTTCGTGTTGTGAGAAAATAGTTCTAAGTCATCAGGTAATTATAAATTAACTAGCAGTAGAGCCCGGCGTTGCCCGTGGATGTAACAGTAAGAGATAGATCAAGTATCGACCATCATAATGACTGAAAAATAAAATTGCCAAAGATTATTGTTTAAGGTTGACGGACACGCATGTCATAATTAGTTTTTTTGTTTTTTCTTTTTTCTTACGAATTGGTCAAACAATACAAGACAATTATTATATTCCTAAATTTCAATGAATCTTTGTTTTCAATCGTTATGAGTCTATCGATTGAATAGAATTTTATTATAAATAATTGTCTTGTAAATGGAATTTTTAAAGCATTCTGAATGTAAAAATAAAGAAAAAAGTGTGCAAGACAATAAGAAACACTACCTGCCAAAAAAAGTGAAGTTTTGTTGAAATCGGTTGAAAAATGTAGGAAATCCGATCCCATATATAAACGAACACACACACACACACACACACACACACACACAAACAACCTGGGTTTTATAATAAGTATAACTTGATATGAGTTGTCCACCTTTCTTTCTGGCGACAGAACCGTGTTTTATCATGTTTTCAAATTGATTTCGTGTAAAAACAATTGTGTTTTTCCAATTTTTGGCGCTGTCAGAAACACCGCAAGGTAATTTTATGCAGTCCTGTGAAGTTTTGTTGAAATCGGTTGAAAAATGTAGGAAATCCGATCCAATATATAAACGTACACACACACACACACACACACACACACACACACACACACACACACACACGCACACACACGCGCGCACACACACACACACACAATCTGCGTTTTATAATAAGTAAGATGTCGAAAGTGATGGGTGCGTTAACTGAAATGACTAACCATTATGTACACGTGAACGACTGGGTCATTCTGTCTCGATGCAAAGCTCGTCAAGGGTGTCGACAAAAAAGTTGTTGACAAGTAAATAAATGATTAAATGACAAAACTGGTTTTTAAAACAACACTTCTCTTGTGCCAGTAACATCCACTTAAATATCTGACAATTATTATATTCCTAAATTTCAATGAATCTTTGGAGTAATTTACTAAAAAATCCATTTACATTTTATGCACGTTAGTAACATTATCATGAACTCCTGATCATTAACAAACCTTTGCTTCTTGATTACAAGAGATTTCTTTAGTAAAATCATTTACACTATAAACACGCTAGTTCTGTCGTCAATCTTGTGTTGCGTTGTGGTTGTCACACCCACAAAAGTATCTAATGGATTGGGTGTGCCTATTAAAAGATAACACAAGACATGAATCTTCATTGCTTAATATCTTATTCACTCCAATATTTCGGCCAATGTGTGGGTGAAGCGGCCACCGGAGCTTTGGTTCCATACATGGACCTTACACTGCGATGTGCGATGTGCGAGACCCTGCTCGGGATTGCCTGGAGCTGTTTATATGTTCATCTCTCTAACATACTAGCTCTCAAGTTTGCAATATCAGGTGAAGATGTTAGGTCACGTACTTCTGCCTTTGGTAAACGACAGTAAACCTAACTTCCCGCTATTCATAGCAAGATTAATTATAACCTTACTATAGTACATTTCCATTGAAAAAAGAGGGTTAGAATCAAGGGTAGACATTGATGTTTGCGTAAATGGCTGGGGAACCGAACAATTTCTGGATGACTCATTATAAAATACAACCTTGGGTCAGGTGTCTTATCGAGTGGAGATGAAATAACCCACATATAAAAAAATATGTCACATTCTGGCGGTTTGGGGGCGACGAATAAAACTGATCTACCCAAATATGTAATTTTTGTCAGTTTTAATTTGGATAAATAATGCACATGCATACAAGATAGATAGAGAGAAAAATAGGATTCAGTGTGGCCATAGGAGTCAAGACAGCATGGTGACCATCAGCTTCACGCCTGAAGCGATCTTCAGACTATGTCATTTTAACTAGCTATGATCGCTTATCCAGCGTAGACATGTACTTGAGATAATATATATATATATATATATATATATATATATAGGATAGGATAGGATAAAGAAGAAATAGGAAACGTTTAAACATGTTTTAACATGTTTCACTTTTATTAAAGCTTCACCAGAGAATGAGATATCGAATAAAAAAAAGAAAAAGAAGAAACGGTCTTTTTATTTTTGTGATGTTCGTTGGTTAAGCAGGCTTAACGTGTATTTAATGAGTAATAAAAAAGCAAGCTTACTTATTACTACGGTGAATGCAATGCAAAAACTGGCAGGACAATATAAAAATTTAAATTGAGAACGGCTATAAACAATAATGAAAGCAACGCCTTAAAACTGTAGTAGTAGGCTTTATGCGACCGAAAAGACAAGCTCACTTGAGAGAGATTGATGTTTGGTCAAGAGAAGAGGAATGTGTAATTTCGGTTTAAAACCGGCATTGAAGAATTATCTATCAAACAAAAAAAGTCATCAAAATTGGATGAAAACTGTGGAAACGCATAAACAGCATCCGATGACACAGACACACACATACACATTTTGAGAATTATAGATATAGATAATATTATTGTAATAATTTAAAATATTTATTTTTATTAAAGTTTTTTTATGAAAAATATATATCCACGAACAGATAGTAAATAGTAAAACGTTGCTGAGAGTTATAATGGATAGGAAGTAATGGAGAGCCATTGTCACCACCAATTTGGACTCGAAATCGGCACTGAAGAATTATCTATCAAACCAAAAAGAATTAATCGAAATCGGATGAAAACTGTGCAAACGCATAAACAACATCCGATCACACACACACTCACACACATTTTGAGAATTATAGATATATATATATATATATATGTGTGTGTGTGTGTGTGTGTGTGTGTGTGTGTGTGTGTGTGTGTTTGTGTTTGTGTTTGTGTTTGTGTTTTGTCGGTTGAATAATATAATGCAAACCCACACTTATTAAACTGAAAATTGTTTTTTTCTTTCTTAATTTCTGGGATGAATAGTTATCATTATTTACACTATTTTATTCCGGCTATTGTCCTCATCTTTGTTGTTGCTATCACAAGGCTTTGGTCGTCTTGCTCTCCGGCTTTCGTGATGAACTTTGTGTGTGTGTGCGTGTAAAAAAAAATCATCATGATGAAGGCCAGAGAGCACAACGCCTGAAACGTTGTGATAACAACAACAAAGATGAGGATATTAGCCCGGATGTAAATAGTGTAAATACTGGAAATTGCTTTCAAGTTACAGCAATTTGTCCTAACGAGTCTAGCAATGATGTTCCGTTTTTTTTTTTGTTTTTTTTTTAAGTGTTACAGTAACACACCCATAAAAAAAAACAGGCCCATTATATACTCACTTTGTTAAAATTGGTATACATTGTTGTAAAATGTTACCGGATATTTCTTTCTTTCTTTTTTAACATCAATATTGATTGCTGGCTATTTACATAAGTGAGCGTACCACCTGTCATTACAAATAAAGTCATATTCCCATGAAGACATGAAACCGCTATTCTTATTGATTCTGTGCTTTTTTTGTTGTTGATTCCACGCTGGACGCACTTACCTTTTTTTTCACTCACTGTTGTGGGAATGTTGGGTTTTTTTTTTGTTTTCTTTTTCTTTTTTATTGATGTTTACTCAATACAAGGCTTAAAAGCCACTCAAGGTAGAGGATAACTATGTAGTGTTGTACGAGCGCAAGAAAGTGCAAGAAGTGAAGTTCATGGAGCAATACAAGAGAAATAATGGTTAACTCCAAAGTTGAAGAGGTTAAGATTGTACTGATTGGGAAAACATCCTGTCGGTAGTATTTTTTAATTAATTCATTCCAAGCAAAGCAACACCTGCACGAAGACGCAATGAACTACTGTGAGGGAAAGAAAATGAAAAAGACTTTAGAAGGAACTGAACACCCAATCTTGAGCAGGAATCAAGGGATTTTTTTAATCGATATCACCCCAAACAAGGCAGTAAAGCCACTAAGACACAAGGGGTTACAGGGTCTAGAGGAATTAGAGACAGAAACATTAGTAACGAGTAGAATGAGAAAAGAGCAATCAGGAGGACAGTAGATAGTGATCGAGACTGCATTGAAATTTTTGCAGATTAAAGTTGGTTGGAAAGCATGGGGCCGAAAGCGAGTTCCAAAAACGAGAGGTGCGAGAAAAGAAACTGTCAGCAAAGAAGTTACGACTCCACCTAGCTAGCTCAATTGTAAATTGATGAGATCTCTACGCTAGTCTAATATTGCGCTTAAATTCATACAGACTAGGTATCATAGCGAAACGCTCATCCGAACAATTACCATGAAAGTATTTATAAAAAAAAGTCGCAGATATGTGGTGGGAAAGTGATTGAAGTCGCCAGATCAGGACCAATAATATTGTTGATTCTTCTTTGGATCTTATCAAGGACCTCCGGGTAAACAGTAGGTGCAACGGATCATATCTAGCAGCAATATTCTATGGACGAATGGTAGACATAGATATGTAAGATAGATTCCAGATAGAGAAAATCGTCTCGTCCGATACAGTGAACCTACTTTCTTAGCAGCTGACCTAGCAATGAATTCAATATAGTCTTTCCCCTTCATGTCAGCTGAGATCGTTAGCCCGAGAAGGCATAACGAGACACTTTCCAGGGGGTTAATATCAGCCATTCTGATGGAAAGCAGAGAGGAGTCTCTCAGACGATTAACGGAGATGTTTAGTTTTGGAGGTGTTAAATTTGACAAGATATCTTTTGTCCTAGTTAACGACGGACTTGAAGTTGTTTTGAGCATCGGCTGCCATTTTGACATTGTCGGACTGATCAGCCTTACTATCGAGGCAAGGAGTAAATTGTTGTATCGTCAGCGTATATGCCAAGTTGGGAGCTAATGACATTGGGAAGGTCGTTAACGAAAACTAAAAACAGCATAGGACCAAGGATGGAAGCCTGGAGGAGACCCGCGTTAGTACGAAAGGATGTCGACGATTGGGCGTTTAGGACGATTTTCATTTCACGATTTGTTAGGAACAACAGGATCAGCTTAAAAATGTGCCCAAAGATACAGTAACTTTTCAGCTTGTGAAGAAGACCTGAATGCCAGACACTGTCAAGGGCTTTTGAGATGTCCAATGCTATAGTCCAGACTTCACCGTTTTTATCTAGAGCATGGTAGACTCTTTCTGCAATTATCGTTAACACTATCTCGTTTTATTCAAATCTATCTCGTTTTATTTACATCTATCTTGTTTTATTCATATCTATCTCATTTTATTTACACCTACCTACCAGTCTGCCTCGTTTTATTCACATCTATCTCGTTTTATTTACACCAATCTACCTGTCTGTCTAGTTTTATTTACATCTATCTCGCTTAATTTACATTGTTCTTTATTGTTTATTCTTATTCATATCTATCTCATTTTATTTACGCCTATCTACCTATCTGTCTCATTTTATTCACATCTATTTCGTTTTATTTACATATATCTTGTTTTAAACACATCTATCTCGTTTTATTTACACATCTACCTGTCTGCCTCGTTTTATTCACGCTTCTCTCGTTTTATTTACATCTATCTTATTTTATTCACATCTATCTCGTTTTATTTACATCTATCTTGTTTTATTCACATCTATCTCGTTTTATTTACGCCTATCTACCTGTCTGTCTCGTTTTATTCAAATCTAACTCGTTTTATTTACGCCTATCTACCTGTCTGCCTCGTTTTATTCACATCTGTCTCGTTTTATTCTCATCTATCCATGTAGTTGTATTCTCATCAATCTACTTATCCATCTACCGTTTTATTCTCATCTATCTCGATTTATTCACATATATCTATGTTTATGTATATCAATATATCACAATGTATTAACATATATCCATCTATATCATTACGCTGAAAATAAAAACGATTCTCGTTTGATCACCGAAGTTAAGCAGCATCGAGCCCGATCAGTATTTAGATGGGAGACCACTTGGGGACAGCGGGTACTGTAAACGACCTCCTACAATCCGATATATAGTTTGGCTTTAAATAACCCAAAAAGTCCGTAAGAAAACAAATTAATCAACCATCTATCTCGATCGATTCACATCTATCTTCACAGGCACTTATATGTGTTTATGTGCGCACGCGCGTTGTATTAATAAAAAAAGCTTCTTTTTTTATGTCCAGATAAATCTTACATAACTGGATCTCTGTCATGGTTGACTATTAGAGTAACAGCTAGTATTACTTCTTGGGCATGTAATGTTATGCGAAAGGTATTTGCTTAGCTACCCACCCGTCTACTCTTCGTTAACCTTCGTGATATACCAGTGACAAGACATTTTGTCAAGGTATGTAGTGCTGAGACCAAATGTAGACTAATGCCTTTCCAAAGCGCATTTATTGTTAAATCAACGTAAGCAGATTAGATCCCGACTGGCAACCAATATAGTCTGGTCGATATTAATGTTCACCGGTAAAAGATGTTACCAAGATAAATATGGTATTTTTAGAAAGGTTATGGTTTCCTCTTTTGAAAATTGAAAAATTCTCATTTGGGCCACCTGGAAAAATTTAGTTATGGGGGATAATTTGCAAACCATATCTAAAATAAAGAACTTGAAGTAAAACGTAGTCGTATTACACCATTACCAGTTGGCATATATCAGTGGTCGTATATATAGCAGTGGAACAGTAGATAACATAAAAATAACATAAACCTAACCAAATACTACCAGCTCTACCAGCTTTGGCGATCATGTATCTTTCAATACATGACTGACGAGGAAGATTTTTCCAGCAGTAGGCTGCCATTTCTTTCTGCGGTAGACCAGTTGCCATCCAGGGCTATAGAACCAGGTTGGTCTTGTTATTTATTAATAGCTGGGGGTTGAGGAGAAGAAGAGGATTCATACCTTTCCCAAAGGTATTAGCACGTAAGTGAATGTAATTCAAATTCGGCTCTCCGATTCCTCAATCCGAGCCGCAATAATATTGATATCTGGAGATTGGGGAGGCCACTCGCTATCCATTACTCCACCGTGCCTCTTAGTGAATGAAATACTAACCAAACAAACAGAGGTTGGACAAAATAATTGAAACACTTGTTAAATTCAAAGAAAATTTATTTAATATGCTTTAGCCTCACATACAGCTTTAATATGTCTAGGAATGGAAGCATACAGCTTCCTGACTTCATCCAAAGGAATTTTCAGCCATTCTTCCACTAACACCTTCTCCAGCTCTTTAAGACACAACAGTGGAGAATAGCGGCTCCTAACTTGTCGCTCCAAAATGCACCACAAATTTTCAATAATATTGATATCTGGAGATTGGGGAGGCCACTCCATATGTTCTAGCTCACTTTTCTGCTCTTTATACCAATTCTTAACCAGTCGAGCGGTATGTATTGGAGCATTATCGTCTTGGAAGATGCAGTCACCATCATGACTAAAGTCCGGGCCATTGGATGAACATGATCTCCCAAAATGTTCAGTTAATCTGTTTTGCTGATTCTTCCATGCAGGGCAACTATTGGACCGAGACATTTCCATGATATGGCTGCATATACAAAGAAGTGTTCTCATAAAGCTCTTGAGACAGCCTTTCCGGAAAGAATGTGTGATATTGATGTTTTAACGTTGATGGTATTTAGTAACTCGGACAATCTAGCACCATTCATCAGACATTTTTTTCCTTACCAGAAGGAGAGTTTTATGAAGAACTCATTGAAACAAGCCTGAACCTAATTTCGTATCCGAGGAAAGGTTGTGCAAATATATTTATATATAATTTGTAAGTGCATTACTTACTTCAATTACTTAAAGATAACAAATGAAAGAACTTTTTTCCATTTCTGTTAATCATATATATATTATTAAACGTTTCGTAGCCTCCAAGGATGTAGCATTCTCTTACATCCTCGCAAGAACCCAGTGATTAAGAATACGAAATCAATATGGATACTCAGATTTTTTAAAATTTGTATTGGAGAACAGCATTTCTCTTAGAACCCGTAAAACACAAAACACATATAATGGGAGCATATATAATACAACATGAAACATTTTCATCAGAATCATTCAAGAAGAAAAGTTAAAATATAGGAATTAAACAAATTTCTTGTATTTCTTTCCATTCCCTTTGCGTTGTTCACACTTGGTTGGTTTTTCACTTCATTGATCCAGAAAAGTCCACATTCAAATAAATCTCTGTCTCTTGAATTCTATCTATTAGCTGATACGATCCGATCTATAAGAATATGAAGCAGTTATAGATTATATTGCACAATCATGAAATAACCTCAACTACTAAACATTAGAAATTGACACCATAATGTTCGAATAACTCGTAAGACACATTCAAAATGACTTTTGCATTAAAACCACTTACAAGTATAAAACTACCCAAGTGGCTGAGAACAATGTTTCATTTTATATCACCTGTCTTTGTAAAGAAATTGGTGATCAGAAAAACGACTGCAAAAGAAATCCCTCAAGGTGGATGAGAGAGGAGTTTTTATTTTCTTGCAGGATAAAAACTCTGATTCCAATGATATAAAACATATCCTAGTAACATTTTTCCAGGTACACCTTATATTCACATTAAATCGACCAGACTAATACGCCATCCTCCAATTCAAAAAGCAATCTGACCCTAATCTTTCGCCTTATTCTCTGGATGACTAAATTATAAAAAAAAAATTGTTTACTACTTTAAAAATGTTAGTCTTGAATAATTGTTTAATCGTCTAAGGTATTTTGTTGTTACAAAACCGCCAAAATTGTTAAAGATCCATTTCAAGTTTATGGAAAATTGTTTTGTCGTATTTTGTGGTTAATGAGAGCCGTGGATGGAGTCTTCCGTGAGCTTCTTTTTCTGAATACGTAGGCATCAGCTCAGTGGACGAAGCGAGAAGATTTTTTGACAACAGGAAGACAAGATACATTGACACCAAGGAAGAGACAGATAAAAAGGCAATAGTTACCAGCAAGCTGCAGAGAGACTTGAAGTTCACAAGTGAAAATTCTCCTACAGTTGGAGAAGAAAGAACGAAAAAAGTTAAAAGTATGTCCCAAACACCGAACAGTGTGAATTTAAAAGGGACTTTTCTAAAATTACTCTATGTCCCAGTGACACTTGTGGGTCAAGTAAAAGTAGGTGCTTCCGGTTTTTTCTGAAAGGTGGTTGCACATTTGTTTTTCTGCCTTCTTGAATTGATTTCTCTTTTTGTCAGCGAATATTCGATGGTAATCCCTTTTTGAAGCATCAGAAATGTGTTATCCTGCTTTAATAGGCTCACAAAAGGAAATTTTTGTACAAATTTTGTGCCCTTTTTGTCTTTACTTGTGTAATAAATGTTTTTCCTTTAAAATTTTACACAGGGACTGATTCTTATTCTGCTATTTGCGCCTATTTTAACCTCAAGAAGAGAAGAGCGTATTCTCTTTTCCATTTATATACCTACTAACTAGGTTTTTTGTATTTGGCATAAGAATTTAGATTTGTATCAAATGCAGTTAGATTAATGCTTGGTCACAAAACGTGACCAACAATTTCTGTTTTACACTATTAACATTATTCGGACTATTGTCCTCATCTTTGTCTCCTCAAGGACACATGCCACAGTGGATAAAGGCGTTAGTTAGATCCAGTGACAGGACCCAAAGAGTGTGAGTTCAATACCCGGTTAAGACGGTGGAGGATTTTGAGAGGGGAATTAACAGGAGATAACTGACATCCATTAGACATGGCTCGTGGAACTAGAACAGTCTACACTAGCGAGCGAAATGAAGGCTTCAGTTCGACATTCCAATCACCTGAAGAAGGCCGGAGCGTACAACGGCCGAAACGTTGTAATAAATATGGCGACAAAGATGAGGGCAATAGTCCGAATAATGTAAATAGTGGACGCAATACTTCATCTCAGAAATATAGACAGATACTAATTTCTGTTTTATTTAAATGTTTTAAAAGAAATTGGTTGGAGGATAAAGTGTGAAATCATAGAAAAATATTGATTCCCTCTTTGAAATTTTCTCTCTCTCTCTCTCTCGCTCTATCTATCTATCTATCTATCTATCTATCTATCTATCTATCTATCTATATATATATAGCAAGTATGTGGTGCAGTTCAATTTACATTACATGAATCATTCATACAAAAAACAGATATAGAAGATAATGATTTAAAAGGCGAGAATACATCTTCGCAAACAATTTTAATGAAGTACACTAACCACGAATCTGTATATGAATGTTATGATCCCTGTTTATAAATTCAAGTTGCATAAGGTAATTTTTGTTTTTTACAAGCTTTCGTCTGTTCATACAGATATCTTCAAAAACAAATCTATGTCTATACCTGATGAATCCTGTCAAAGAACGAATATTTTCTATGAAAATTTCTCGGACATTCAGGCCGGTAAATGTTATTTAATACTGTTTATCATAAACAGAGCATTTGCTTAAATACTTGTATCTATAAATAACAACGTTAAACATAAAAAATGTCTTTAATAAATAAATTGTCGGACCTTGTCCATTTCTTAATATATATATATATATATGGTATATTAAAAATCCTTTTACAAAATTTGGGTGCGGATTCCTCACACTAAAATAAGGACAAAAATCCATGTAAACACGTCCCCAAATCCTTTGTTTTTGAGTTATTTTTAAAGAAACTTTACAGCAGATATCGCATTGTTGTCATGTTACATTTGTCATTCGTGTACATTTGTGGCTTGTCTGTCTTCAACATTTGACGTGTGTAGTAGTGAGTTAACTGAGAAGTGTTCCATTTAACAATGGCAGGGTACTCATTGCGTGAGGAGGAAGATATGATTTTTACATACGACTTCACGAATGATAATGGACGCGAAGCTACACGGCTGTATCAGATTGCGTTTCCAGATCGAAGCCAGCCGAGTCATCCAACCTTTGTCGCTGTTTATCGTCGCGTTGCTGAGACGGGATCCGTGGCACCACAAACTATAGATCGAGGAA